CAAAACCTTGACACCATCATCTGAGCTTTTTCAGAGGCATAATAATCTTGTTGTTTGTAAACTTGACTTTCAAGAAAATATATAACAATTTCTCAAAAAATCTCTTTCTCATTGCTCTGCTATTAGGCATAACAAAAAAAGAAATTGATAATCCTAACTTACCTAAAAGAGAAAAAGTTTAGTCACATTAACATCTGACTTTTTTAATGGTTATGTGCCTTTTTATACAGTGAATGTAAACTTCTGGTTTCAACTGTACATAACGTTGATGTCAGATTTATTAAACCCCCCTTGAATTTTTTTTTTTTCGTTTTTAAATATTTCCCAAATGATGTTTGAAAGAGCCAGTACATTTTCATATATGCGTCCGATATAATTAATAATATTTACGTTTATATACATATTTTATTACATAAGTTTCATACATACATATACACAATATATGTATAAATAAAACTCACGCAATCTGCCCTCCAAAATAAAAGTACGAAATGGGGTGGTTCTCCCCAAAGGGATCAAAGAGAACATGCATTAATATAGACTTTTTAGATACACACGCTTACTTCTTTAAGATACAAATGCATACTATTTTAAGGAACTGACCCAGCTTTACAGTTTCTGTTTGAAAATAGACATGCACAAAATGCGACTCTTTTTGTTTGTTAGCTTGTTTGTTTTTTACCTTAATAATAATAATTATTAATGCAATCACGCACATGTTTTGACAGCTAATATGACAATGATTTGATGCTTTGCAGAATTTGCAGACACCTTTACCAATATCAAAATGCTTTTTAATGCAAAATTCATTTTAATTTGCTGATTAAGATTAAATAGACCTATATGCTACTATAATAAAGAAAATCCTCTCTAACTGTAAAACTAAATAAATTGCTAAATATTCTCGACACATGGAAGTTTAAAGCCTGCGGCCCACAACAAATGTGGAAATGCATTGCGCATCATATTTAACAAACCATTTACTACAATTTTTTTTTTTCAATTTTGCTCACATACGTAGATAATTGAATATTAATCAGATGATGTCATTATGCTGATGTGCCGTCAGCCAATCGTTGCATTGCTGATCATGATTACGAGGATTGATAGATCTGTTCTTCATAACAAACGCAGGGATCTCAGATCAGACCATCCAGACATTTAAATCTGATTTGCTGACTTGTTTGAAGAACAAAGTTAGCCAGGGATCAGTTATCAAGATTAAAAGATTCAGGATATGCCAGATCATCTTAGATCATTTCAGCAAGGTATGAAGAACGGACCCCTGGACTACAGAATGGTATAAGAACAGGCTTGCAGTGTTTCGTTACAAAGCAACATTGGCATCTACTGACCTGGCATACATAGAACAGCATTTTAGTCATTTCCACAACATCGTCGTCTGTAAACAAAATCTTTCAAAAGGCAAAAGGAAGCATTTTTTTCCATTTGTATTACTGTTGGGTTAAGATAAACTAAAATAACATTCTGCAGTTTCTCTAATATCTGGCACTAGATTGTGATGTGTGCTTCACGAAGATCCATCTACAATCAACTACAAAAGCATAGTAGTAATTATCCTTATAGAGCATAATTAAAACTTTTGCAATAAATCTCCCTGTACAAACTGAGCTACTTATTGTACCATTCTGCAGAAATGACATCTCATTTCATATCTTTCACTATTTACGGTCACTTTTTTTTTCTTCACAAAAGCAAACACTGTGATATGTTGAAAACTGACAAAACACAGGTACCGGAAAGCAATGGTCCATCAAACCTGAATCTCCTATTTAGATTGTGTGACTGTCTCCAGCTGGTTTGTCATTTCATCCCACATCTATCAGTATTAAATCGCTGCTGCTTCTTATATGTATACGGTCCTCCGTGAAAAAAAAAAATGGTGTTGTACTATTTACTCTGCTCATAGCTGAAAAATAAATTTTTAGAAGCGCACAGATCGAGGTGACAGATATAAAGTCTTGTATTTGCATGGCCACCTCGCTGTAATCGAGAACACAAACAAGTCAGAAAGATCAAGTAAATATCCGTTTAAAGTCTAACAGCTGCCTTCCAGAAATACAAATCCAATTCCATTCCTCCATAGAAAACACTAGAGTAGGTTTCATTGTAAGACATAAACCTTTCGAAACAGAGCTGCTAATAACTCTGAGGTTGTTAATGTATAATGTACAAGTCTGTATAAGCTGGAAGTGTAATTGCAGTTGAGTGTAATTACAAAATTCCCAGTGAAGAACTAAAGGAGCTGTAATTCCGAACACACACAAACTGCTGTTGCCAACTTGTGGTCGAAGAGATTGGAAAATCCTACTGAAAAATGTAATCAATTTTCTTAAATTACTAATTTAATTTCTTAAAAATACTAATTATTTTGTAATAAGGCTACTATTTTATATTGTGCTGTAAAGTTTTTGGTAAAATTAGGTACAATAAAAAAAACAACACTAAAATAAATAAATAAATAAATAAAAAAATAAAAAAATAAAAAAATAAATGTAAATTTATAACAAAGATAGTGTACTTTATGTTTTTGATACATTAAAATACAGTCTCTGCTAACTAAAGCTGCATTTCTTTGATTTTTCTGTATTTCCATAAAAATTAAATATTTACATTTTAAAATGCCTGTAATAAATAATATTTCTGTGATTCAAACTGCATTTGTAGCATGATTAATTTAGCTTTCAGTATCACATTATCTTCAGAAAGCATGCTTATTTGCTACTCGAGAAATATTTCATTTTATTATAATTATAATTAATAAAAATAATTTGAGAAAATTGTGAAGCACGTTTTTTCAGCACTGTTTGATGAATAAAAAGCTCAAAAGAAAGCATTTATTTAAAACGTAAATTTCGAAAGGCAAACAAAATATCTTTAGTCACTTTTCAATAAATTAATGCTTTTTTGCTAAATAAACAAACAACACCTATACTGAACGTAAACAAAAAATTTTAACATTTATGCATTTATTTAATATTTTAAAAAAATTATATAATAAATACATTTTATTATACACAAAACATATTGTATGTATAAAAATATATATTGAATTATATATTTTTAAAAACATTTAAAATAAATACCGAATAATTAGTTGAAGTCAGAATTATTAGCCCCCCTGAATTATTCGCGCCCCTGTTTATTTTTTTCCCCAAATTCTGTTTATTGGAGGGAAGATTGTTTCAGCACATTTCTAATCCTAATAGTTTTAAAAATTCATTTCTAATGACTGATTTATTTTATCTTTGCCATGATGGCAGTAAATAATATTTTTCTTGATATTTTTTAAGACACTTCTATACAGCTTAAAGTGACATTTAAAGGCTTAACTAGGTTAATTAGGTTAACTATAGGCAGGTTAGGGTAAGTAGGCAAGTTATTCTATAACGATGGTTTGTAGACTATCGAAAAAAATTAATAGCTTAAAGGGGCTAATAATTTTGTCCCAAAATTTTTATTTTTATTTTTTTAAATTAAAAACTGCTTTTATTCTAGTCAAAATAAAACAAATAAGGCTTTTTTCAAAAGAAAAAAATATTATCAGACATACTGTGAAAATTTCCTTGCTCTGTTAAACATAATTTGTGAAATATTTAAAAAAGAAAAAAAATCAAAAGGGGGCTAATAATTCTGACTTCAACTGTATGTATATATATATATATATATATATATATATATATATATATGTGGTCTTTTTAGCTGAGGCACTGTTACTATTTTCAGACCAGAGCAAGAGTAATTTTCACTTTGTGGGCTCATGGGCATGCTGGTCTATAAAGGGGGTGTGTTAAGGCACATCATTGGCACATTGTTGTGCAGGCCCAAATGTTTAAACATTGGTTGTACAGCAATACACAAATATCTTTACATATGAAATAAAAGAAAGGACTAAAATGTTACAAAAAAATATTATTTTCTACTTAAACATAAAAATCACTACCTCCATGACTTCTTTACGCCACCATCCCTTTTTTTGCCAGTTTTTATTACAATTTGCATTTGTATAATATTATTATTATTATTAGCAGTATGTATTATATGCATCTATATTTGTTTTAATAAAAACAAGTTTAGATTTGTTCACCTGTCGGGTTTTAAAGACATATGCGTCCCTATATGGAGCATAAGAATAGGACGCGTATTTGGATATAACTCAGTTTTTTGACTCGCTATTATTGCTCATTTATTAGTTTGCTGGAAATTAGAACTGAATTTAGAAAAAATCTTTGCGCTTAATATAAAAAAATAATAATTAATATATAGACTAATGGATGTCTTCAGTGGAATGAGTACAATGTTCCTTATCCATGAAAGTAAAGGAGTTAAGTGAAGTGTAAAAATAAAGTAATGACAAAAAAAAGAGGCCAAATGGAAGAGGCTTGTTCTTTATCCTCACAGAAATAATCTGTTTAACTGTTTAATACTCCTGCTAGTGAAGTTAGTCCGCCATGTAAATAGCAAATGCATCATGATGTGACGCAACTAACTCTTAAAGGAAATTCGAGACGAGATTCTGATTGTTTTAATGCATAACTCATTAAGAGAATAAGCACAACCCTGTTAGACCATGAGCTGGGGCTCTGGGGCAGAGCATATTTCACATCTTTAAAACAGCATCTTTAAAGTGGATTCAGACATGGCCTTATTGATTTTGCGCCATGCACTTTAGACTCTGCATCTAGATTGTTAAAATAGAGCCCTAAATTTTCCCCATCAAGTACACTTAAACTGATAGTCAGAGTTACTTGCAGGAAAAAAAGGCAGCTCTCGACCCCTTAAAATTCAACAGTTTTTTGTTTTGTTTTGTTTTTTTGCTACTGTGCGACCCCTTCAACATACATGACCAGTTGTTATCCTGAACTTTAAAAGAACAAGATATAGACTTTGACATATTCTCCATTTTGTGCTCTCTTTGCAAAATGCAAAGTGCAGCTGCAGAATGATGCTACTGAAGTGATAAAGGATGTCAGTCTTACCTTCAGGAGCATCTGCATCACATATCTTGGTGATGGTAGCAGAGCGATTGCTTTGTGAAGGGACTGCTGTGGGTAACGGGGTCTGAAAACAAAAGAAAAAAAATCAGAGTTATAGAATGTGACACAAATTGCATGCAAGTAAAACATAAGTAATTTTATAAGTAAAATAACCATTGCTTAAAAAGCATAAATAAATATTGTTTAAATAACATTTATAAAATAATAATCTATTTTAATAATTTAATTACATTAAGATTAATGAAATTCATTCTTTATTTTTTCATTCAACATAAAAAGTAATATAGTTTGACAGTATAGAACATACAATTCAATATAACCACCCACCAAACCTTCAATAATACTTGCTGAAAGTATTTAAATGAAGTCATTTTCAGTCTTTTCAATGCCTCGTCTATTTAGAGTCATTATGCAGCACCCCATTAACAAAACTCTATGCTATGTGATGTCAATGGCACTATTAATGCTAAAAGGAAAGTAGGGAGTAAATGGCAATGCCTTTATATATGTAAAGGTTACATTTAACATAGCACTTATTCAAAAAATTATGAAGAGGAACATAATACCCTGCCATATTGTAATGTAGTCAAGTAAATCTTTTTCATTTTAAAGAGCAGATAAATTAGCACAATTCCTTTAGTGTTAAAAAAGCACACAATCTAAAGTATAAACAACACTTTCTTTCCTTTCTTACAATTATCCTGGAAACAAATAAGTCTTAACTGACTCATCTGCATGATTTTATACGACATGCTAATTGTAAGAAGCAGACTGACTGATATGCTTTTTGGGTTTCACATTCCACATGTTCAGGCATAATGTACTGCTGTTTATGCTGGATGATGAAAAGAATAGAAAGTAAAAACGCATTTCAAAACTATGCTTGCAAATGTGTATGGAAAATTGGAAAGGTTACGTGCATGACTATACTTATATTTAAGTACTTTATGGACTATCATTTATTTTTACTATTTAAGGTTTCTTATTAGCACTAAAAACTCTCCATACTACAAATTACATACAGTATAATACAATACAATACAATACAATACAATACAATACAATACAATACAATACAATATAATATAATATAATTTAGTATAATATAATTTAATAAATATAATATAATATAATATAATATAATATAATATAATATAATATAATATAATATAAGGATACCCCTGATAAATAAGAGACTAAGTCGAAAGAATAATATAATATAATATAATATAATATAATATAATATAATATAATATAATATAATATAATATAATAATACAATATAATATAATATAATTAAATTCAATTAAATAAAATTTTATATAATATAATATAATATAATATAATATAATATAAATATATTACAATTTAATATATTATAAAATATTAAATAAAATACTACATATTTATACGCAATACCATTAAATATTCAACAAAAACAACATTGTTATTCTTTTTTTTCTTAAATTGCGAGCAAAAATAAGCTTGTAAATTCATGGATTTTTTCCTTTTGTTGATATCATATTGTGAGCCACAAACAAAATAGATACAATTAAATAAAACATTTAATTAAAAAAAATTAAACATTTGCAAAATAATACATTTGAACAAATTAATGAATGCATGTAAAAAAAAAATACATTAAAGAAAAAATCCAGTCCAAACTATTGTTTTTTAAAAGAAACTTTCAGTAAATCGCTCTTTCTTTCATTCCGATTTAAATTCTAATTCTGCAGTTTGCAATCAGGAATTTAATTGGGATTCAAAAACTCCTAAGCAGACAACAGAACTTAGCTTTTTCGTTTGTGCTCATTTCAATATTTACATCCGACGCAGCAGAGGGGCGAAGGACAGATGTAATTGGTCAGATTTGGACGCATGATGTGATGTTTACGAGAGGAATGAGAGATTGGCTCTTGCCGCGAGCTGTTCTTCCTCTTCTGTCCTCCAGATGATTTGCCCCATCAGCCTTCAGACAGCTTGTCAGAGGCACAGCAAATTACTCTTCATTTGAGTTTGTATGTACGTAAATATGGCAGAACTTTTTTGAAATCATCAAACCGCGCACCGCTGGAAAGACGCAGGATGACTGCTAGGCTTAGAGACATCAGATCTGACTAATGAAGAGTTTGTCAGTTTCAGCTTCAGATGCAGATGGACATTCACAGTCCGTTCAATGACCACTTGATGCACAGCGCGCATAAAAATGCTGACTGAAGCTGTCATGTCTTGATATCCAATATTACTTCTGTATTACAGGGTAAAATCTGTTATCATTTTTGTTAGTTGAAATAAAATCTGTACTACTACTATGTATATTGTCAGCAATAAATACACACACACACACACACGCACACGCACAAGCACACGCGCACACACACACACACACACACACACACGCACACACACACACACGCACGCACGCACACACACACACACACACACACACACACACACACACACACACACACACACACACACACACACACACACACACACACACACACACACACACACACACACACACACACACACACACACACACACACACACACACACACACACACACACACACACACACACAGATGATCAGATGATAAGATGATCAGATGATCACTGAGAGCTTAACAGATCTTCTAATCCCAGTTGCTTTGCGCAAGTCCTGTTGATATGATTATTCACACAGGAGTTAATAAGCGGCTGTCAATCAATTCGGTTTGCCAGGACACCTGTATTCCTACACCACGTTGCAGTATAGGCCTCCAAATGAGAGGGAATTGGATCCTATTTTAACTTCAGAAAATATATAAAAAAAAAAAAAGAGATTGATTGTTCTTTTATCACCCCAATATGACAGTGCACATATTATACCTGCACACAGTTATGTCCAAATAGCTTCCAAAAGTCGCCATTTCCATCCTAGGTGCCCTTTAAATATATATGATCTTCAATTCAGTTCAATTCAACTTTATTTGTATAGCGCTTTTACAATGTGGATTGTGTCAAAGCAGCTTCACATAAATGGTCATAGTAACTGGAACAGTGTAGTTCAGTTTTTAGTGTTTAAGTTCAGTTCTATTTAGCTCAGTTCAGTGTGATTTAAAATCATTACTGAGAGTTCAAACACTGAAGAGCAAATTCATCGATGCGTAGCTCTACCAATCCTGAAACATGCCAGCCAGTGGCGACAGCAGAGAGGGAAAAAAAACTTCACCTGATAGGAGAGTGAAGAAAAAAAACCTTGAGAGAACCAGACTCAGTTGGGCACGACCATTTTAATTTCTCCGCTGGCCAAAAGTCTTGTGCAGAGCTTCAGTCACCACGGTGGAGGCTGGAAGCTGGCCTCAGCGAAGACTCGTCTGTCCCTGGAGCGTCACTGGAATCAGACTCATGTTCTCCACTCCCCATGACCATCAGCGCAGCAGCAGCTCAGGATACGGCCTGGTCCCGGATATGGAAACCTTGGGATCATCTCGTCGCTGGTCTTGGATCCAATCAGTGACTCCGCATAAAGATGTAAACTTTCAGGTTAAAAAAATGCAAATAGTTGTATCACAGCCAAACACTATTCTATCCAACAACCTGTTTGTATAAACCAGTTACACATTTGTGTATATATGAAGTCATTTTGTAATTTAGGGGCTAATTCAGTTTACTGCTCTGAAGCTGCTTTGAAAAATCCATATTGTTGTACATTAATAAAGATGACATGACTAGATTGGTATAATTTAGCACATAAAAACACTGAAAGTGTGAAAAGCGGCGTCACATGTAGGTCTGAAGGTCTCTTCCTGTTTAAGTGGGTGGTTCTTGGCCAGAATAAACCATGCAGATTTCATGCCAAGCGTTGATCAGCCGTTGCTAGGCTACATATGACTAGATGTATAGATGCGCACTAAAGAACACACAGGCAAATGTTCGCACCTAACATGATCGGGTCAAAGATGTCAGTTTTTAACCTCATATAAATGCAAAGACCTTTGAAGAAGCGAAAAAGAAAATAAACGCGAGACGCAGGAGCGGCCTTTAATAGGTTTTGAGGAGAGAAGGTTTTGAAAGGCTTTCAAACACTTGCTTTGTAAAGGGTTGATCATTACATACTTATGTCAGCGGCGTGGGCCCTGTTTGCGGAGAATACGACAGCAGTAATCCTGTAATCCCGATGGCGTACAGCACAGGGGATTGAATGCAACACAAACAAACCCACGGCTCACCTGCAGCAGGTATTTCTGGCTGCCGTACATGACGTATTGCGGGGCCAGACTGTAGATCATGTAGCTGGTGTGGAGGACGATGAGGAGGAGGATCATGCAGAGAAAGAGCAGGGCCTGTGGTCGAGTTCTCTGAGGCCTGATTTTATACAGCTGCATGATAAGAACAAAAGCATCTTTGTATTACTGATATGGCACAGTATGAAGAGTCTACAGCCTTCCAAACAACAAAAATGTACCATAGAGATAACACTTTAAGATGGTAAGACAGGGTAGAGCTAATGTAGCGGACACTTTAACTATATAGGGAAAACAACATAGAGAAAACGGCATAAAATTGCTAAACAGAATAATCTCTTGTGATCTCCACAAAGTTATTTTTCCAAGCCCTGACCCTAAATTTCAGAGATATGCTATGCAGATATAGTTGGGATTATGTTAAAAATAACAGCATTAATTTTTAATGAATGTTAAACATTAATGAAAATGATAGATCTATCTATCTATCTATCTATCTATCTATCTATCTATCTATCTATCTATCTATCTATCTATCTATCTATCTATCTATCTATCTATCTATCTATCTATCTATCTATCTATCTATCTATCTATCTATCTATCTATCTATCTATCTATTTATCCATCTATCTAATTGAGGCTAGTGGGCTGAAGTTTAATATATTTCAATGGGTAATTTCTTAATTTAATTAGTTAATGTTTAAAAATGATTAGAAAACATTGCTTTATGTTAATTGATAAAGTAATATAATGACCGTATTACAGCAGAAACAAAATATTCTAATTTATAACAGAATTAAATTAAATTTTGCCTTGATTTGCTCATCTGAAGGCTCATCTGTTCAGTGACATTTTTTACATTTAAAAAAAGAGATTTATTTACAACATTTAATTTCAGTTAGCTTTTTTTGTAGCTTGTCAATAAAACAAAACAAAAAAGTGAATCAAATTAAAAATAACCTCCCCAGCATACTCACCCTCCTCTTAGATGGGATGGTGGACCAAATCAAAGGTTACAATGGGTCAACTTTATATATATATATATATATATATATATATATATATATATATATATATATATATATATATATAGTTATATATATATATATATATATATACACCATGTCTCAAAAAAATCAAACTTTAATTATGTTTCGTAATTAGATGGCAAATAGATGAAATTATATGATATTGATATATATATATATATATATATATATATATATATATATATATATATATATATATATATATATTATTAATATTACTTATTTTATTTCTTGCAAACTAAATTAGCACGCACAGAAATAAAGTTTACATATTGCAGTCATTCATTCCCAGACTCCCGTGCAATCTGTTGGACAGTGCGACGGGTACGTGGTGCGTCTTTTTGGCTCAGAACCATGTCTTCAACAGTGGTGATATTTTTAACAGTACAGGCAGTGCGTGGATGACCACTTCCCACCACGTGACATACTGTTCCAGTGCGATCCACTTTCACCAACAAGTAATTCAATCAACAATTTTAACTAGTTTTTTAGTTAGAAATTCACAAAGAAAACAAGAAGCACTGTAGCCAGTTCTCATAAAGCTTTAATCAAACATTTATCCACATTCAAAAACACAATTTTTAAGTCTTACGTAATGTAGCTAAAAATAAATATCTCATCATCACACCATCGCCAAGGAAAGTAAATAAAAGGATTAATCTGATGCACAGTTTGCGCTTTTATTCCTGTACAAAATTTAGTGATTGTTATTCCTGTAGTACGATAAGCATTCTTATTTTTGTTATTTATTATAGCAGTCTTATGTTTGTTATTTGTTTATTTTAAAATAATTTTGTTATTCTTTTTTGAGACACAGTGTGTGTGTGTGTGTGTGTGTGTGTGTCTATATATATATATATATATATATATATATATATATATATATATATATATATATATATATATATATATATATATATTATTTTTTTGTAAACCTTTAAACCAAAAGACATTACACTCTTTATTCATTTATTATTTTTATATTTATTTTAACGTGGACAACTGGCATTTTTGGCCCAGTTTTGTCCATTTAATTCCCATGTTTGCCACAAAACCTGACCTTATTTTAAACTACATTTGATCTATACAAAGCTACATTTCTAAAGTAATAATAAACAGTCTTTGCACCATTTTTAACATTCTTTAAAAAGCAAGAGAATGAAGATCAAACAGAAATGACATGATTTCTCTCACCCTTATCCAGAAGAACCAAATCCCCATATTACGGATCCCAGCCATTGAGGTGAAGACAAAGTACATTGTGATGACGGTGATGAGAACGTAATCCAATGGGAAAACCTGTAGAAAAAGACGAGGAAAATATATACGAGATAAATGTGGCAAGGAAAAAAATCCAATTCTGGACACAGCAGCTCCACATATTCACGGACTGAATAGGCCTCGGTCTATTTCAGCCATTCACAAAAACGACAATGCACTCGCTGTTCATCTACACACACTATTCAGGCCTTAGTGTCACCTAAAATAACTATTAACCTGACAATGAGGATGGCTGGAAGGCCGTGGCAGTGTTGCCCGCTCTTGCTGCCTTTTCCTTGTGTACCATACTGGGGTTTTTTCTAAAGCAAGTGATGCATGTTTCACAAAACACACAATGCTGGAGGCACAAAGAATATATATACACACACACTCAGACTCTCTGCGGTGGCCTAAAATACTGTCACTCCTGCGCTAGAGATGTATCGCTCCACAACTCTGAGGTGATCTTTCAGCAATTGCGACTATTTTCAATGCATTTCATCTCAAAAGAGCCACAGGAAGTACACGGCAGAACAGTTTGAAAGTCAAGCTAAAACTGTCCGGCTTTTTCTGGACGGGTTGTTGGCTTGTGGAAATGGCAATGCCTCTTCCATTGGCAGCTCGTCCTCCACTGGAGCTGAAACGCTTTCTTTAAAACGAGAAAAAACACACACTGACCTTACCTGTTGCTGTCATACTGCAGATGGAAAATGGTCAGTGACATCATGAAGAGCAAATTAGAAATGTTTCTCGAAGCATGAGCAATAATCTCCCGGCCCGCACGTCTTATCCCTTTGCAAATTACTTTTCTTTTTTTCCCCTTTTCACATGGCCTAATTGCTGAAATCAATGGTCTGGATTCCTGAACAATTTGGTTTAATCAAGCCATCTCGAGCAGCGAGTGAAACAAGCGATCGTATTTTATTCAAGCACATGGAAACTGATCATCGCGCTACTTGAAGTAGATTGAAGGATTTGAAATCTCTTCCAAAAGCCCTAAATGATGAAAAGCGCACTTATTTCACATTCAAAAATAACACTTAATTCAGAGGTCATCGCCACTGGACTGAGCAATGAAATGTTCAGGGTTTTTTTTTTTTTTTTTCATTTTAAGGATTGTACATTGGTGTACTTGAAGATTGTGGTTTAGCAGTATTCTTTTACACATATAAAACAAATGAACCCTAAATGAACCATAACCATAATTATCAAGCATTGATCATCTAACTGCGCAGCCTTGAACTATGGTTTAGTTAGATAATAGGAAATGTGTATTGTTACGATCTTAAAGATGGTCAGTTAAAGGGAAGGAGAGTAACGTTAATTTGTGTGAAACACATGAGCAAACACACAATATCAATGAGTGAGGGACAAAATACCATGACTAACTAAGTGCAATAAAGTGTTTCATATTTACAAAAGACTGTGATAATAAGTGCAAAATATGCATATATAAAGAACAATAAATATTTACAAGAAGATTTTTAAAAATCTCAGACAACAAGCGGGACACAAAATGTTTAAACGGGTAGATGGAAGAGTTGGAGAGATGAACACGGGCGGCATCCAAACAACAGAAATAAATAAAACAAAACAAGCTATTCTATTGGCCCAACGTCTACTCTAACTATCCAAAAAGAAAAATATATCAATATTGAAAAGAAAATATTTGTGTCTCTGACAATATTTCTTTAATGAAATAACAAAAAAAAAATTAAACGATAATAATAAGGTCCCACTTTAAGTGCCCTGTATTTACATCAGAAAATTAGTACAATATACTTAGTGTGTTTATAGTATTGTACCTCACTTCTGATCCTCTTGACGTGGGCTACGAGTAAAGTTTGGGACAGTTCTAGGGGTATGGGTAGGTTAAAGGTTGGGTTAAGGTAATGGATGAGTCAACAACGTAATTCTGAACGTAATAACAGAAGTTATTTACAGATGTGATTATAAGCAGACCATTGTTTAAATATTAGTAAAATATAAAAACATGTATGTATGTACATAATAAATGCATTGTACTAAATTTTTAATTTATATGCAAGTACATACACTGTAAAAACCCAAAACTTGAACCATTTCAGGAAACAGATTGCAACAAACCATTTAAATTCAAAAACTAATCCTAATGAGTACTGTGAACTTAATCCATTATAGTAAACGAAGCAAGTTGAGCCCAGTAAAACCCAATAAATATCGAGAACTTAAACCAACTGAGTACTGTAAAACCCAATAAGCTAAGGCAACTCAAACGTTTGAGAAACGTCTGATTGCAACAAACCACTCGAGTTAAAAAGCTAATCTATAAGAGTACTGTGAACTTACTCAATTTAAGCTGAAGTAATGAGGTATTTAATTTACTCATTAACTTCAACTGAGCTTAAAACTCTTTTCAAAGGAGTAGGATTAACTTTCAGTAAATTTTAAGTTAAATACACTCATTTCATTTGATAAAGCTGACTGGTTTTACAGTGTAGCTATTAAGGCCACTTGATATACAGTGGAACCAATAATAATGATAATGATAATAATAATAAATATATACTGTATATATAACTTGGGTGTATGGCCTTAATTTTAACGGGTCTCATAAGAAAAAAATAAATAAAAATTTAAAGTTGCTCTTGCACTGAATCATTCACTGCTGATGTATGATCATAATAATAACCAATAATAACTGCTCAATGCAGTGGCCAATTGGATTTAATTTAGATTAATCATTACATAGTCATTGATCTGTGTACATTATTAAGTACATTGTAAATAATTATATTTTTGATGACTCGTTTCAGTGGGTTAATAATTTACTCTTTCTTTTAAGGATAGAGTAACTTAATTTTTCATACACACATACATGAACTTTAAGATTTGGCAGACCTTTTATATTCACAATACATTAAATATTGTCTGGTTTTAAGAAATAATATGCCAAAATTAAGTGAGTTTTTCCTTAAAATAAGAGAAAAAAATATCTGGCATGGAAATGGCATGAGAAATTTTATTTAGGGGAAAAACTCCCACTTGTCTAGAAAATGCTTCTTAATTATAGAAGTTTTAGATCTGGACTAAAACAAAGACAAAACATCAGTAAGAAAAGCATTTTTATTTATTTTTTTTTGCAGTCTGAAAAGCACAGTAAAAAAAGATTTATGTTCAATTATATATAATAGTATTGTTAATATTACAATAGTTAAAATATTACAGTTTTACTCTAATTAAAGCTGTGGTAAAGCTTCCTAAAAATCAAACAAAAACTATTTTTAACTGTACAATTTGATAAAAAAGAAAAACCTTTTCAATTCGTTTTTACTGTATTTTCAAAAATGATTATTAGTATTATAGTTTATAACTAAGATAATTATTTTACAAAAGTTAAAACAAACATGAAAACCAGCTAACAAGGGCCCACAAGCAGATAATGCTGCTTAATACAGATTAAAAATCATCTCTGGACACCATAAATGAAGTACAATGAATGAAGCCACCAAAAATGTATTGGTCGAAAATATGCTATGCCATTTAATGAACCCTCTGGTCTAGTTTCACGGCAGTCATTGATGGGGTACTCTTTTAAATGTGGCAGCATTAACAACTTATATCGAAATATACAGCGATATCATTCAATATGGAAAATAGTTATTGAGATTGCATTTTTGCCATATCGCCCAGCCCTATTTGAATGTCTTTACTGCAACTCAAAAATCAAGTAGTCATATTCTTAGTCATGTTATTTTAATTAAAAGCAATAGTTAATGTTGTTAATAGTAGTATAACTTTATACTAATGAATGAGTGGGTGTGTCCAAACTTGTGACTGACAGCTTGCACTTGCCAATTAGAAAATAATGCATTTCCTACTGCTGCTCGTCTCGGAGGAAACTGCCTACGGTAAGCACATCGTTTTCCTAGTATCTCTTGAGACACATCCGCAGCTGGCAAAAACCAGTGTCATTCTGCTACTAAGTTCCGTAGTATGAAAAAAACAAAACAAACAAACAAAGCAAACAATGCTTTCCATTTCTGGCATCTTCTCCTCCCGAGTCATTACACAACTCGGGTTGCACACATACAACTGTCACTAGTACTCAAGGCCACAAACGTGAAGCGATTCTGAGAGCGAAGAATAAGTAAATGCCACTCACCGGTTGCAGTGCCAGCAGCAGCTCATTAAGAGGGTTGGTTAAGTTGGTCCCAAAGATGATAAATCCAGTGCTGATACCAGCTGAATGTAAAGCTTTATCCAGACTGCAACAAGAAAAACACGCTTAACAACATTATCGCAGAAGAGACTGAACTCAAAACATCATTAACTACAGTTTCTCCATGGTCTGCTGTGGAATGATGGCAAATTGTTGGAAGTGTGAGCTCATTTTGGAGCATTGCAGGTGTTGATGAATAAGTGTGTGTGTGTAAAATAGAATCATTGTGTGCCACTGCGGGGACGACATGTTTTTTGTGATTTTCAAAAAAAGCATTCATGGATATTTGTGTGTGTGTGTGTGTACTGGTTTTGGTGGTTTATGAGGACAAAAATGTTTATAAAGACATGGGTATGACCTCGGTATTGCAATATTGAGGTGGTTTATAAGGACATGCCTTTTGTCCTTGTAATTCAAAAGTGTTAAAAATCATACTTAACTGTAGATATACAGTTGAAATCAGAATTATTAGCCCCCTTGAATTATTCGCCCCCCTGTTTAATTTTTTCCCCAATTTCTGTGTAACTGAAAGAAGATTTTTTTCAACACATTTCTAAACATAATAGATTAAATAACTCATCTCTAATAACTGATTTATTTTATCTTTGCCATGATGGCAGCACATAATATTTTACTAGATATTTTGCAAGACACAGCTTAAAGTGACATTTAAAGGCTTAACTAGGTTAATAAGGTTAACTAGGCAGGTTAGGGTAATTAGGCAAGTTATTGTATAACGATGGTTTGTTCTGTAGACTATCGAAAAAAAAGCTTAAAGGGCCTAATAATTTTGTCCCTAAAATGGTTTTTAAAAAATTAAAAACTGCTTTTATTCTTGCCGAAAAAAACAAATAAGACTTTTTTCCAGAAGAAATAATATTATCAGAAATACTGTAAAAATTTCCTTGCTCTGTTAAACATCATTTAGGAAATATAAAAAAAATAAATAAATAAAGGGGGGCTAATAATTATGACTTCAACTGTATATATATAAACAATAACCAGTTAAAAGGTTTGTAAAATTTAAGTTAGAAAGGAATCAGTGTTTTTAAATTGAACAAAGTTAGCAGAAGACAATAAATAATTTTAATTATTTAGCATGACATGTTTACTGTTTCAAAATATTACTAATATTTAATAAATAATATAATAAGTTTCCTAAAATAAAAGATATTGTGTTTGATGGGGAAAAAATATTGTTGTTTATTACCCAGACATTTAAAAAGAGCATCACAATACCATGATACCATGAAACCGTGACATTTTTAACCAAGATTATCATACTCTCCAAATCTTATACATGCCAATGTCTACTTAACAGGGTTATTTCACATACAAAATTAGAGGTAGGGTAAATAGGGTCACATAGTTAGCGGTTTTAAGATTATAAAATACACTATACCTATAGAGAGTACTCATAAACCACCAAAACCTATTTGAGTGTGTAGGAGAGTGTAAGAAAAACAATTTAGATGGAGGAGAGTCTGCTTTTGGAGTGACATTTTGTGCAGGTTGATGGAACTTACTTGGAAATAAACAAGGTCACGAAGAACAAAAGGGCCACCAGGATGAAGAAGACTCCGAGCAAGATCTGACAAGACATTAAAAGACAACAACACACTTACAAGAAGTGTTGCAAAAGCTACTTTGAAAGTTCAGCAACTTTACTTTAGAAAACCGTGTATCCTTATATTGTAAAACTGCTAAACATGGCCACACAAAATGCACAAAAGCATGAAACATTAGACTAAGATTAGTATTGGAAAATATTATAATAATTTAAAAAAGATTTGTTATTTTGTAAACGTACGTTTAAAGGGATAATTTCCGCAAAAATGTTAAGTCTACCATAATTTACTCTCCCTTCTACTTGTTCCAAACCTATTTGGGTTTCTTTCTTCAGTGGAACCCAAGAGGAGATATTTTGAAAAATGCTAGTATCTGGTACATATTGACTACCCCACTATGGAAGTCGATGGGTTCCATCAACAAGCTTTCTTTAAAATATGTATTGTTTGTGTGTTGAAGAGAAGAAACTCAAAGGTTTAAAACCACATGAGGGAGAACAAATATTGCGGTAATTTTCATTTTTGGGTGAACTATCCCTTTAAGAACTGCAATTAACCGCCAGTTATAGGACATCTGAATATCAGCATCATGTCACATGTTCTTTCTGAAATTATTGTTATGCTAATTTGATATTCAGAAACCTTTCTCAATATTTCCAAAGTTGAAAATAATTGTGCTGCCTGCTTTAGAGTTTTGTGTTGTAAAATATTTTTTTTTATTATTGTTCATTTAAGGATGAACAGTTTCTTAAAATGAATCAGCTAATTGATTCTTTTAAAGCATTTAATTGAACATATTGGCTAAAATGAATCATTTTTTACTCCTCAGTAGTGATTTACAAATACACAAAGGGTTTTGCAAAGAACTGAAACTCCCTTTTGGTCCATCAAGTCTTACCCAGAGGTTGTGTCATTTTTGTTCTATTTGTTTTTTTTTTTTTTTTTTTTTTTTACACATGACCATATGGTGCGACCCAGCTCAACATGACACCGTTACCAAGAGTAATACAGACTACATGATCACAAGCTCTCTAAATACAGAACAGACTGAACGCAGAGGGAAGAGTATATTAACAAAGACAGAGACACAAACACTCACAAACCACAAAGCAAAACAAAACCAATATGCCAGACTGAACGGCTGCCTTTGACTGGCCTCCCGGAGCTCACGTCTGCTTGACTTGACTTGAGGGAGTAAACAAAACCCTGACGTGTGCAGTAATCACTCCAGATTCTCTCAAGACATAAGAGAGGCAGTAAATAAAGACTAAAAAGATGGGAAAAAAAATCAAAAACAAGCAGAAAATCTAATCTGCCCATCATTTCATTCCTCCATATGTCTCCATCTACTGTCCATCCACCAACCCATGCCCTCACTTGTCAATACAATCTTTTTTGTCTAATTATATGTCCATCCATGTATTAAATCAGCTGTCTGTCTGTCTGTCTGTCTGTCTGTCTGTCTATCTATCTATCTACCATCCCTCTTTCCATTTATCCATGAGTTTTTGACCACTTATCATTATCTATTCACTTGACTATTTATTAGTCTAACCAGCTGTCCATCCATCCATCCATCCATCGTACTATTCGTGTATTCTTCCATCTACCATTAATATATATCCATCTATCTGTTATCCATCCATCTATCACCATACATCTGTTTCCTAGAACTCATAAAGATTAACCCACCAAACCCATCTACCTTTACATTTTTCATCCACTTATCTTTCTTTTTCATGCGTCCATCTATCCACACATCACCCATTTGTTCATCTATCCCTCTATCAATCAGTCTATTAATTTGCCAAGCTCTCTATGTCTAACCATCTATCCATCTATCTGTTTTTCCATATCAATACAAATAACCATACCCATCAATCTACCATTCATCTATCTGTCTATCAATATAACAATATGTCCATCTGTTTATAAATTCATCAATCCATCCATTTATTAAATACAAATACAAATGAATACATCTTTCCATCCACTTATCCAAAAATATCTATCCATTTATCTATTTATCCATACATACATCTGTCCATTCGACAATTTTGACATCATTCTGCATCCTTCTATCCATATCAACACATTCATCTACCCATCCCTCTTTCAATCTATCCACTTATGTATTTTCTGGCCATCTGTATCTATTCACTAGATTATCCATCAGTCTAACCAGCTGTCCATTCATCCATCCATCCATCCATCCATCTTACCGTTCATATATTCATCCATCTACCATTAATATCTATTAATCTACACGTTTATCCTTCCATCTATTCAGCAATCTTGCCATTAACCTGCTTCCTACAACTCATAAAGATCAAGCTACCAAACCCATCTACCTTTACATTTTTCATCCATCTATCGGTATCCATACATCAAACATTTGTCCATCTATCCCTCTATCAATCAGTCTATTTATTTGCCAATCTCTCTTCATGTCTATGCAGCTAACCATCTGTTTATCTATTTGTTTATCTATATCAATACAGATAATCATACCAATCAATCTAGCAATTACTATCTGTCTATCAATATAACAAACTGTCCATCTATTTATTAATCCATCCATCCATCCATCCATCCATCCATCTATTAAATACAAATGTATCCATCAATCCACCCATTCACCAATCTAACCATCTTTCCATCCACTTATTCATAAGTATACATCCATCTGTCTGTTTATCCATCCAACCATCTATCCATCCAATCATTTTGCCATTAATCTGCATCCTTCTGTCCCCATCAATTCACTCATCTACCATCCCTCTTTCAATTTATCCACTTACAGTGTCTTTTTTCACCCACATATCTGTATATACAATCTATTTATTTGTCTATCAATCAATCTAATCTGCTGTCCGTCTGTCCATCCGTCCGTCCGTCCTTCCATCCATGCATCCATCCATCCATCCATCCATCCATCCATCCATCCATCCATCCATCCATCCATCCATCCATCCATCTTATCATCCAACAATCTTGCCATAAATCTGCATCCTACAACCCATAAAGATCAACCCACCCATCTACATTTCCATTTTTCATCCACGTATCCAGCGTCTTTTTCATCAATCTAGCGGTCTATCCATCCATTACCCATCTGTCCATCTAACTTTCTATTTATCAGTATATTCATTTCTAAAGCTATCTGGCTAATTATCTGTTCATCCATCAATAAATTTATATCAATTCATTCATTCATTTTCTTGTCGGCTTAGTTCCTTTATTAATCTGGGGTCGCCACAGCGGAAAAAAACGCCAACTTATCCAGCAAGTTTTTACGCAGCTGATGCCCTTCCAGCTGCAACCCATCTCCGGGAAACATCCACACACACATTCACACACACACACACACACACACTCATACACTACAGACAATTTAGCCTACCCAATTCACCTGTACCGCATGTCTTTGGACTGTGGGGGAAACCGGAGCACCCGGAGGAAACCCATGCGAAGGCAGGGAGAACATGCAAACTCCACACAGACACGGCAACTGAGCCGAGGTTCGAACCAACGACCTTCTTGCTGTGAGGCGACAGCACTTCCTACTGAGCCACTGGCTCGCCCTTTATATCAATCCATCTCTCATCAATCTATATGTCTATCAATCTAACAATCTGTCCATCTGTTTATCAATGAATCCATCCACGCATCAAATTTTGAGAGTCACTCCTACATAATTAACATAGAGCATTAAATAATAAATCCAGCATGCATTGTTCACATTTCCACACATTTAAATCATTGCATGCTATACCACAATTACACAACCCACAACGTTTAAACCAAACAACGCCAATACCAACTCTGACTGCTTTTGAATAACTACAAAAGCAAGTGACATTCGCATTGGATGCACATTTCCCTCAAGAACAATATGACAGATTGTGAATGTGAAGTGTAGCGAAAACAGAGATTTGTAAATGAGCGTGAATCTGCCTCCAAGACATAATCTATAACTAATTCAAACGAATGACTGTGAGTTATTAGTGATGCTAGAATTATGCTTCGTGGTTAAAAACACAGCTGGAGTTATTCTAAGAGTATATTAGGAATTTATGTCTCAAGCTGGTGCAGCAATACCAATAATAAACGCTTGCAGTTATAGCTGTAATAACCGTGACAGAGCTTTAACTTTACAGAAAGGAGTACATTAATAATAACAAAAGTTACAGCATCCCGCTATTCATTATTCAGCATGCCTTCAGCTACACAACAAAACCACAGCCTTTAATATACAGCATAAACACAGCTACCTGCTCGTTTACATCCTAGATTTTATCAGTTTTTCCTTTGTTTGTTATATTATATCCACAAAAATATTTTGGCTTAAGCCTTTACGTTGATAATAAAGTACACATTTAATCTTTTCATGCAATGACTGGAAATCAAACTCATAAAAAAGAGTGTTATTGTCAGGTTATGTCAACTCAATCATCACATTCACAAAAAAGATAAATAAAGATATTTACTATGTGCTTTCCCCCCTTTTTTTTGGTTCAGTGATTCTCAACCTTGTTCCTGGAGGACCACCAACTCTGCACATTTTCTGTGTCTCTTTAACCAAACACTCCTGATTCAGATCTACAGCTCATTCACAGAGACTGAAAGACATGTAATGGGTGTAAAAGACCAAGGAGACATCCAAAACATCCAGTGTTGGTGGTCCTCAAAGAAAGTGGTTGAGAAACACTGATTTAGGTTATCATAAGAATGCAGTAATTGTCTTTGGATCCCCACCCGAAACATCCTGAGATCACCTGAGTAGGTCAATAAAAACTCTGGAGTAGATTGGTGTAGCTCCAACTACAAAAACCAACTTTATAATGGCTCACTACAGGACACGTTACAGAAAAAATCAAGACTGTCTGATTTTGCGAGTATGAACATTAATTGAAAACCAAGGAGAGCCTCTTTATCTTAAAATGTGTAATTGCTTTTCTCCATGCATTGAAAGAATGCTGACGAAGCCTTGATTTCCACTCAAACTGTATAAGGTAAAAAT